GTTTTACAAATATGGAGTTTAAGCATAAAGATATTAAGTGATCAGTTTAAATTCCATAGCAGAGCTAGGATTTGAACCAAGTAGTCTGACTATAGTGTTAATTTAGAGATTGAAAAGGTCAGAGCATTCATGTAGTAAATTCCCTCATTGCAATTGCTGAGCAAGGAAGTAACAGCGCCATAATTTTCTTACTAAGTGGCATCTGTAATATATAACTTATTAAAATGAAACTTTCATTTAATGTGTATTTATTTTCTAAAGTATCTTCCAGCTGTTGTGCTGCTAGATTTGAAAGACTGTATTTTATATATTGAAATTTTAGCCTATTTCTATATTCATTTTTTATACCTATATAACTTACTTAGTTTCAGCCAGTAAAAATGTGTGAAAGATAGCATTCAGAAGTATCAATTTATTTTAAACTACTCATATGCTTAGTAAGAATACAAATTCATTTTTATTGATCTAAGCTTGTCATAGTGGAGAAAAATATCTCTTAGTTCATCTTATGTTTGTTTTATTCCCCTTACAAAAGAATAAGTATGTATAAAAGATAAATGTTTGAGTATACTGACTTTTAAAAACAATTTAGCCTGCGCTGTGGGCCTGGGTAGGAAGGGATTCCACCTAAACAAATAAGGTATTTGAAAATTGTGCTTTTCATAAAATTAAGTTTTTTAACAAAATAAAAAGTAGTATAATAAAGAATGTAAGGATGCTACAAATACTTCTATTTCAAGAAAGGTAACAACTTTCTGTGCCTTGATGTAAATACATCTCTTTTAGGGAAAAATTTATGTGGTAGATTATAAAATCTGCCCCATGTATTTTTTTTAATTACTTATATATGGTAGCTGTAAACTAATCTGACAGTATAAATTAAAATGAATCAAGTACATCAGTTATAGAAAATGTATGAAGTTTGACCTAATTATGCAATCATACCTAAGATATACTAATTTTGCTGAAGATTTCTTTTTACAATATAAAATGTACATTGTATTTGGGAATTTGAAAGTTCTGATTAAAAAAAAAGTGATATTTCTTTTGCTTGATCTCATGGATAATAGGTTTTTAAAGAAAGTGACATTATTTGTGGGACAAATGAAATGATTCATCCTTACTTAAAACTGAATATATTATTAATTTTATTCAGTTTAATTTTTGAGAAGTGCATTTTAAATAGGGTAAGTGAAACAAAACTGTCAGGGCTGAGATTTATGTTTTTGTAAAAAGGTATAATATTTTCCTGTGTGTGTGTGTGTGTGTTATTCACTCAGCTGTGTCCAGCTCTTTGTGACCCACGGACTGTAACCCACCAGGCTCCTCCGTCCATGGAATTCTCCAGGCAAGAATACTGGAGCGGGTTGCCATTTCCTTCTCCAGGGGATCTTAACTGACCCAGGGATCAAACCTGGGTCTCCTGCTTGGCAGACTGACTCTACCATCTGAGCCACTAAGGAAGCCCCATCTTTTCTTTAACATATATTTTAGACAAATGAATTTCTAATGATCTATAATATAAATTTATCAAATAAGTTTTTTAATGCTTTATTATATGTGTTGAAAGTGAAAATCGCTCAGTTGTGTCTGACTCTTTGAGACCCCATGGACTGTATAGTCCATGGAATTCTCCAGGCTAGAATACTGTAGTGGGTGACCATTCCTTTCTCCAGGGGATCTTCCCAACCCAGGGATAGAACCCAGGTCTCCCGCATTGCAGGCAGATTCTTAACCAGATGAGGGACCAGGGAAGCCCATTATATGTGTTATCACATACTTATTTCTTTGAAAATGTTCCTAAAATTTTGGGTTTTGTTAGATCAAGTGGCTCATGCAGATACTGCTCTCCTGGAAGATAGAATTTAGTGTAAATTTATACATGTGTAATGAGTTCAGAAGTGGTAGTAAGGATGTTAGGGAGACATCCATCATGGTGAGGAGTTAATATCTGTATCTGCATAACATTCTAATTGATGGCTCTGTCTGATGTTTGAAAAGCGTTAAATTGCTGATGTACAGGTGATGGAATGCCTATTGTCAGGCTAGAAATGAAAACTCTTCCTCATCACTGCAGTTGGTTTGTAAATGATTTGTAGAGAAATGACTTTGAATGTTTGTATTAGAGGTCAGAATTAGAGATCTCACATTTCTGTAGTAAGTTCTGTGTGCCAAAATCTTCCTTGAGCATAAACCACAGTCTACAATTCAGTATTTTTAAAGACAACTATTAGAGACACTCTGATTAATTAAAATTAGAGGAAAAAAAATCTAGAAAACTATATTGAAACAGTGTCTAAATAAATCAATAATGCATAAACTGCACTATTAAAGAAGTAAGTAATCATATGTCAAGATAAGTCAAATAAGAAAAAAAAATTTGATTACTGCTAGAAATTGTAGTATTTTGCAGCATACATTAAAAAATGGATTGTGGGGTTTTTAACACCACAGCTTATTAATCACTAACATTAATCTCATAGTTTTATAAAACCACAAATCACCTGAAATGTGTCCCCCAAATATCATTTTTCTCAGCCAAAAGAATGATTCAGCATTGGACATCAGCTTCCTCCTGTATGAAAGAGGTTAGAATCATAGATTTTAAAGATACTTTATTTCTACTGCCTTCAGGTTTTTCCTGTTCTCTAGTAATGTCTCACGCTGTTTTTTTTTTTTTTTAACCAACTATAACCATCTCCTAACCTGTCAATAATTATCACTAACTCCATAATCATTCCATTTCTCTGCTTGTCTTGATGTGACCAAAGACAGAATTAAAATACTGCATTTTTTTTTTAATCATAAAACCAGGTCAAGCAGTAAAAGGGGAGAGGGAAGGAGGCAGAACAGAAGAGGGAGGGGAAGAAAAGAGTCCCTCCTGAGGCTGTTCTAATACACAGTACCAATTAAGCACCTGCGTAACAGTTAGTATGTCATGTGACACTTAATAAAAGACCTCAGTCTACATAGAGACTAACTGTAAAACAAGTATCATGTTGTGTTAACCGTACATGCGTGAGCATATGCAGCCTCTTCCCTTTTCCACAATGTCGTGAAGAATTATGTATTCTGTATTATCTAACTCATTATATTTCTTTCAATAATCCTTGATAGTCCTCCCTCTTCTAATATAAGAAATGGCCCTTCAAACCCATACAGCCTATATAACACAAAGTTGGTGTTTTAGGTTCACTATTTCAGTTAATTCTATTGACGGTACTATGAGGTTTATGTTACCACCATGCCCGTTTTCACAAATGAAGACCCTGAATTGCAGAGAAGGTAAGCCTTTTGCCCACGATTACCCTTTCTTGTCTTTTTCTCCAACTCAGGCTCTGGTGCTCCGTCCTCTGTCATAGCACACCAGTCTGGATTTATCAAGTGGTCCATGTACCATGCACTCGTATTTATCTGTGCGTTTACGTATTTCACCCCTGCCTAGCTGCTCTCCTCTCACACCCCTTGTCTGCCCTAGTTTAACTTCTCCCTTCTCTCCAGTAGCAGTCCTCTTTTCTCTCCAGTTAGAAATAACTTGAAGAGAGAGTCATTTCCCACATTTCCTGCTAGAATCCATCACCACTGAGTCTCCCTTGCATTTTGTATTTGTTATGTGACTGACTTTTTTGTTCAAATGCCTGTTGCTCTTTTTGAATCATTCCCTACTTGAGGAATAGGGACCCATTCATCTTTGTTTTCACTGCCTATTCCAGTACCTGACATATATTAGACACTAATCTTTATTGAGTCAGCTCTGGACAAGAAGAAATCCTAGATGATATGGTAGCAGATGAGAAATCTAATCAGAGTTAAAATTTTTATACTGTAAAGTTAATATTTAATGCCACTTGAACTGTCTTAAACATTCAGGACGTTTTAATGTATGTGGACATCTGCCAGCCAGGATTGAAATTGTATATACTCATAATTCTGTACATAATGCCACTCTCTCATGAAGCCTTCGTATCTTTTTTGTTAGAGTTCACTTGTTCACAACTGGCCCTAAGGCATTTAGGAAATCAGTTGTCAGCTGTCTTCTGTTTTGCACCCACCACAGTGGGGCACATAGAAAAATCATAAAACATAGTGAGAGACCTAAGAATCCAGCTGGGATGACAAATCTAACACACAGAAAATTTAAGTATAAATACTCTTAATCTGCAACCACAATACACCAGTGTGTTCCTGAATACAGACTGAAGACCACTTGTAGTTAATTAGCCCAGTTATCCTAATACCACTCTGCAGGATACAGCACACTGTCATCCAGAACTGGGTAGGGGAGAAGAGCCTCCATCTGCCACTCTGTAGCAAGGTTATGAAACTAAACCCTCCTATCCTGGCAAAAGGCTTCCTTGTTTGGATAGGTGCCATCCCAGACTTTATTTAAAGTTCAGTGAGCCAGGCCAATTCATGTCACTAATCCCAGGGAACATGTTAGCTTTCTATGGTAGTGTTAAGGTTTTCCAATCATTTTGATAACTCATGAGTAGGCAAAACACCATATTTTGCTTCTTGAATTTCTGTAGAAGTGCTTCTTCATTTTACTGTTCTCATTCTTACCCTAAACCTAGGTTTTTAAAGTGAGCTCTGGTAATGTAACTGATCCCAGGGTCTTCCCCCCACTCCCACCTCATCTTAACTTAAAAAGTCACATCATTATTTCTTCTGTTCTCAGTTTTTCTTAAAAGTGACCTTGAAAAAAAAGTTTACACTTTTTCTCCATTACATACATTGTCTTTAATGCAGTTGTGCATTTGAGTTTTATTCTCCTGAGCTTCAGAGGNCCCCAGAGGTAGGCATGACAACCCACTCCAGTTTTCTTGCCTGGAGAATCCCATGGACAGAGGAGCCTGGCAGGCTGTGGTCCATAAGGATTGCAAAGAGTCGGACGTGACTGAAGCGACTTAGAATGTGATCTAGATTACTGTTTTGTTTTCATCTTGGAGGTTGTCTTTGTTGATTCATTTTCAGAAAATATACTTCTCTTATTTTCACAGGTAAAAAAATGGCCTATCAGAAGGTCGGTGCTGATCAAAGAGCTCCAGGACATTCACAGTACTTAGACAATGATGATCTCCAAGCCACTGCACTTGACTTAGAGTGGGACATGGAAAAGGAACTGGAGGAGCCTGGTTTTGACCAGTTCCAGCTAAATAGTTCTGAGCATCAGAACCTGGAAAATTCAGAGACTGCAGACCTCAATCTTGATCCCATTCAACCAGCAACTTCACCCAAAGGAAGGTTTCAGAGACTTCAAGAAGAATCTGACTATGTGACCCATTATACAAGATCTGCACCAAAGAGCAACTCCTGCAACTTTTGCCGCCTTTTAAAGATATTTTGCACGGCAATCATTTTATTTATTTCTGGAATCTTGATAGGCTATTACTCACGTAAAAATTGCCCTTCAAATGCTACATCTTCAGGAACACTTGATCTTCAGTTATACCAGGAGATTCTCAAGACAATCCAAGCAGAAGATATTAAGAAGTCTTTCAGGTATGTGTGCAAAAAATGGATGTTGGTGGGATGCATCTCCTGGGAAAGTTGTCTTACAGGGAATATTCTACTGGTGATGTTTCCGTGGTTTAAAGTTAGTCTGGCAAGCTGAGAGACATAACTTACCACAACCCCTTCACAGAGGGGGATGCATGGTTTCAGATTTATGATACTATAATACAAATTTATGATGCTGCTTTAATAATCAATGATAAGAACCATAACCACCGTAGAGACTAAAAGACTTGAGCCACTATATTTTCTCCCTCTTCGGAAATCCCAGGTAGGGCAAATTGTGATGCAAGATTGCTGGATGTACATGTAATAAAAGCTAGGGCATTAGCCATATGATTGAAATTTTTAATGACATCAGAATAAAATAAATGTGCTTTATGGACTGAAATAACTGTCAGGAGGTAGGCAAGCACTGGTAGTATTTGGTCCCCTGCATCACTGAGCTTCCCAATGAGTATTTTTATTGAAACACATTGGGTTGCATATATCAGGCAGTTGTTAAAGGTCATTTCTCTTTTAAGGTAATTTTCTGCCTATGACCTCTTTAGCCAGAATGTGTTATTTATAAGTTAAATTATAAAATATTTTTATCAGGCTTTAATTCTGAGTTCCCGGGAAAAGCTCCACTCAAATCATATGACAAATGGGTAAGTTAAATTTTGCTTATCCTATCATAAACATATATGTTGAATTGTAAAGGGTTTCCTAGTTGACATATTTAGAGAGGTGAGGAACTGGAAGCGAAGAGTAATTATTCGCGTTCACTTGTGTCTTCCATACTTGGTAATAAAGACTAATCCTAAGTTAAACATTTTTTTGTATGTAGGTAATCGAGAAAAAAGGATATTAGGTCATAAGGATATTCCTTTTGGGTTACACCAACTTATTACCATCAATATGTTAGCACATGTGCATTTATAGGGATCTTCTAGGGAGCATGCCAACTGCAGATGCATCATTTAATCACATGCACTGATGTTGGTGAAATATTCTCTCTGAACGTCACATCTCAATGACTCATGGTCATTTGTTTTTTATGTCTTTCTATGTCTCTGTCAAATGAAGAAACTAACAATTTCCATGGTATTTCTCAATATCAATTGTTTATAGTGAATTGAGTGAAAGATACAACCTTGTCTTATAATGAGTGAGTGTATCAATTGGGATCCAACCACAGCAGAAAACTCCCTGAATATTTAAAAGAGAGGGCATTTAACTTAGGGAAATAATTTCAACAGAGATGAAAAACTGAGAAGCCAATCTGGGGACACTGAGACAGCCAACAGATGAACAGCAGGATGGAGTCATTACTAAACCTAGGCTGGAGAGACAGAATGAGTTGGGGAAACTCAGTGGAAGTTGGAACTTTCTGCATACACAAATGGGTTGGTGGGGGATGTAACCTCAGCCAGAGGCACCACTGAGGTTACATGAATAAAAAGTACCATGGCTTCTCTCTTCCTTCTGCCCTCCTCCCAGTTATCTGTTAATTTGCTGAACCCAGCAGGAAGGCCGTTAATTCAGTTCAGTTCAGCCACTTGGTCGTGTCCAACTCTTTGTAACCCCATTGACTGCAGCACGCCAGGCTTCCCTGTCCATCACCAACTCCCGGAGCTTGCTCAAACTCATGTCCTTCTAGTCGGGGATGCCATCCAACCGTCTCATCCTCTGTCATCCCCAGTTCCTGCCTTCAATCTTTCTCAGCATCAGGGTCTTTTCCACTAAGTCAATTTTTCTCATCAGGTGGGCAAAGCATTGGAGCCCAAGAAAATAAAGTCTGTCACTATTTCCACTGTTTCCCCTTCTTTATGTAGGTAATCGAGAAAAAAGGATATTAGGTCATAAGGATATTCCTTTTGGGTTACACCAACTTATTACCATCAATATGTTAGCACATGTGCATTTATAGGGATCTTCTAGGGAGCATGCCAACTGCAGATGCATCATTTAATCACATGCACTGATGTTGGTGAAATATTCTCTCTGAACGTCACATCTCAATGACTCATGGTCATTTGTTTTTTATGTCTTTCTATGTCTCTGTCAAATGAAGAAACTAACAATTTCCATGGTATTTCTCAATATCAATTGTTTATAGTGAATTGAGTGAAAGATACAACCTTGTCTTATAATGAGTGAGTGTATCAATTGGGATCCAACCACAGCAGAAAACTCCCTGAATATTTAAAAGAGAGGGCATTTAACTTAGGGAAATAATTTCAACAGAGATGAAAAACTGAGAAGCCAATCTGGGGACACTGAGACAGCCAACAGATGAACAGCAGGATGGAGTCATTACTAAACCTAGGCTGGAGAGACAGAATGAGTTGGGGAAACTCAGTGGAAGTTGGAACTTTCTGCATACACAAATGGGTTGGTGGGGGATGTAACCTCAGCCAGAGGCACCACTGAGGTTACATGAATAAAAAGTACCATGGCTTCTCTCTTCCTTCTGCCCTCCTCCCAGTTATCTGTTAATTTGCTGAACCCAGCAGGAAGGCCGTTAATTCAGTTCAGTTCAGCCACTTGGTCGTGTCCAACTCTTTGTAACCCCATTGACTGCAGCACGCCAGGCTTCCCTGTCCATCACCAACTCCCGGAGCTTGCTCAAACTCATGTCCTTCTAGTCGGGGATGCCATCCAACCGTCTCATCCTCTGTCATCCCCAGTTCCTGCCTTCAATCTTTCTCAGCATCAGGGTCTTTTCCACTAAGTCAATTTTTCTCATCAGGTGGGCAAAGCATTGGAGCCCAAGAAAATAAAGTCTGTCACTATTTCCACTGTTTCCCCTTCTATTTGCCATGAAGTGATAGGACCAGCTGTCATTATCTTAGTTTTCTGAATGTTGAGTTTTAAGCCAACTTTTTCACTTTCCTTTTTCACTTTCATCAAGAGGCTCTTTAGTTCCTTTCCACTTTCTAATTATGGCTAATATTGTATCTTATTTTTAATAAAAGGGAATTGTTATTTCCCCTTCTTATAAGTGAAATATAGACAGAAAATTAGAAAAAAATAAAGTATACACCCATAATCTTACCACTTTACTCCCATAATTTTATTCTTTCTATCTTTTCCTATCAAGCAGCAAAATTGCATTATACCATGTATATTTTTTGACATCTGCTTTTGAATTGTTTCCAATTACAATATATTGAGAACTATTTTCAAACCAATAAACACAGAATTAAATAATTACATTAAAATGTTGCTGGTGTTCCCTTATGTAGAGGACGTGAATTTATTGAGCCTGTTCTTTATAAATGTACATTTAGGTTGTACCTATATCTTCATACATAAGTGTGTGTATTTAATTATCACCTTCTGAAAAATTCCTGGAAGCAGATCGCAGATTCAGAGTTTAAATTTGTTTGGTTGTTTGCACTGTGTACCAAATTGCCTTGCAGGACTGCCAGCCTTCTAGGTCCTTGGTATTTTTCATTTTGATAGGCCAAAAATAGTGTTCACAAACTTTTATATCTTAATTGACCACTTGTAGTTCTTTTTGCATGTATGAACTACTTTTATAATTTAAAAGTTTATATTTAGTGAATGTTGTAGTAGTGAAATAGTCTATTACTTCATATATGGTGTCCCATCTTTCTGAATTTCATTTAGTTGATGTATTTTATTTGTTAACAAATAAAAATGAAATGAGCAATAAGAAAAATCCCTAGATTTTTAAAATATCTGCATTATGTGGACAGAGGCAGTATTTTTTGTTATTCTCTGGCTTATTACAAGTAATTAGCCAGGAGTTAAGTTATACTGTGAAATGATCTTTACAAACATTAAATAAAACACCATACTTTCTTAGCTGATGATTAACTCTTTAGAAGTTTAGGACATGTATAAATTATCTTCAGTTATTTCTCCTCTGATCCCACAGCTCGTGCCTAGCTCGCTTTTTCTCGCGCGTGCGTTCTCTCTCTCTCTCTATATATATATATATATATATATCTGTGTGTGTGTATGTATATGTGTGTGTGTGTGTGTGTGTGTGTATACGAATTTACTCTTATACTTTTAAGATGCCAGGTTTGATGATGATGCTATCAGCAACTATTCTCTGGTTCTCGAACTGTACTTTTCAGACATCTTCCTGCTCTTCCTGTGTCTTGAGTTATATTTTAACCTGTCGTGTGTGTGTGTGTGTGTGTGTGTGTGTGTGTGTGTGTCCCTACCCAATTTTAACATTAGAGGGAATGAAAGCAGGAAGGTTGGGAAATATGAAGAAGGCAGTAAAGCAAATGGCATTTGAACTGGAGAAAAACATGTAAATGTATTTAAGAAGTGCACATAATTCAATTTATGCAAATGACAACAGAATGAATTTAACAGTAATAGAGTGATGGTTCCTAAAGAAAGTAATTAACTATTCTATCATTGATCTCTCCAGATAGCAAAAACATATTGTCTCAAATTTAATCACAAAAGAAATGCAAAGGATAAGATTTATTTAATTATCCATAATACTTTATTACTCTGGACTTTAGATAAAGCAACTGCTTCACTGAGTTTCTCAGTGTTACATAGAGTGACATTAATTCTCTTAACTGACTGGTTCAACTCACAGATGAAACCTCATGCCTTTCACAATCCTTAGGCCTTTGGCAGGAGCAAGAGCAGCACCCACCAAGAGAATGAATGAGGATTATTGACAGAGGGTCTTTGAAGCAAAGGCCACCTTCTTAATCCTAGGCAACTTTTGTGGGTGTTCATGTGCCTCAGTGAAAGCCTGAGTACTAACCACTGGACTTCCAGGGAATCCCTATAATCCCCTTTTTTGATCTCCCACCAGTTGAGTTCTTTCTCTCTTTCCCTGCAACAATCAGTACTTTATTTTCTCTCTTTCTGTTGACATAAACCACCTTCTATCTTGCAGGAGAGAAAGAACTATGAGTCTGGCCCAGTCCTTGGGTGATAGTACATGGTCACTCAGTAAATCTTTATTGCAGGAGACAATGTACCCAAAATATAGACCTTCT